ATCCTATACAGGGTGTTCCTAAATATCATGTACAAACGGAAGGGAGTGATTCTTTGATTAATTTTATGACTAAAATTTCTAATAAACATAGGTCCGCAAAGGCTTCGTTACCGATCTACAGGGTGTTGAAATTTTAATGTATTCATATCGAAAATGAGCAAGAATATGGCGGCGAGGGGTGTCTTACTTGTAGATTCTTATTGAAAATTATCAAGAATATGGCTGCGGGACCTCTATTGTCGCCACTGTAGGTAGAAAAGGGTTATTGATTCACTTTAGTTTCATCTAGCCAATTACAGAGATTGTTTTTTTAATTTTTTTCTCGATAAGGGTCGGTGATACGAAAAAACAACAAGAGAACAAAAAGTTTCTAAATAGGGTAGGAAAATTATTTTATTTCTTAGAATCGACCAGCGGCGCACCGCGAAAAAGTTCAGGGGCAGAAAAGGGGGCATGACTCCTGAAAAAACATCACCCTGTGGATTCTGGCGAACGTTTGACATGTGCAATCATCTAGCTTCTATTGCGTAACCTATATTCCAAATTTGAGCTAAATCCCTCAAAAATTGCAGGAATTATAAAGTAAAAACATAAAAAAAATAAAATTTCAACACCCTGTAGATCGGTAACGAAGCGTTTGCGGACCTATGTTTATTGAAAATTTTAGTCATAAAATTAACCAAAGAATCACCCCCTTTCGTTTGTACATGATATTTAGGAACACCCTGTATATTAATAGCTTATTAGAAAGCTCTGCATTTGCTGATTTCAATAATATAGAGTTCGACAGGTTTATCTCCAACTGTTTCCGAGAAAAAAAAATATTTCGGTTTTTGTCATAAGAAACAATGTGTTGGAAAAGGACTTTATAAGACTTTATATCTGTAAGGAAAACGAGAAAGGTCTCTTTCTAACACATTGTTTCTTATGACAAAAACCGGAATAATTTTTCTCTCGGAAACCGTTCGAGATAAACCTATCGATCTTTATATCATTGAAATTAGCAAAATCAGAGCTTTCCAATGAGCTATTAATATATCTGTACCCCAGAGCAAGACTATGTTAAGTCCAAATTTTAGCTGAATATGTTAAGTGACAGACTTAAAATTTTGCCATGCATCGTTTGGTATTTTTCATTTTGGTGTATCTTGTAAAATAACGCAAATAATGTTAAGTACCGTTAACATCATTTGTCTATGCTATGGATTTGTGTTCAATTTGAAATGTTAACTTTACCAGTCAGCATATCTTGCGAGTCCGGTACAATCTTTATTTCTATTATTTACAATGCCTTATACCTACGACACGTTTTCCGTGGCCTTCTAACAAGTTTGAGTTGGTTAATAAAGCATACACTCATTATTTTTTTTTTCTATTGTGTAATGGACTTAACAGAGTTTACCACTAGCATTATTAAATAATAATGACTTAATATATTTTTGTCAAATCATAAAAATAAAAACCCTTGATGTAAAGTCCGTCGATTTTAATATGATACCCGACAGGAATGCGAGCGGGTGGCACCCTACATTAGAATGACAATGGTCACTGACGTCACACCTGTTTTTGCCATATACTTCACCCTCTCGCTCCTCATACGGAAAGTGTCAGATTAAAAACGACGGACAATAGCAGGCACGATTTTCTGATATCCTTAGAAGTAAACTCGCAAGTTAGGAGAACTCACCTTGGAATTATTTGCTACACAAACCCGATTTTAGTAGAGATCTTTTAGAAGTCGACTTTAACATAAAAAATATGCCAAATGACTGCACTCCTTTATGATTCCACGGATTAAGAAGAGGAAGGGCATCTAAACCAATTTCAGGTAAAAATTTGTGTAACATTTTCCAATAATTAAGCACTAACTTATGTAATGAACAAGTAGTATTATTTTCCCTCCCGATTCACCTAAATGTTAACTCCACTGCAAATATTTCAAGTGCATCCCTTTAGACTTAACATATACTATGATAAATCCAAAAATGCATAGGCCAAACTATGTTAAGTCATTGAAATCAAAAACAAAAACTAAGTTCAAAAATTTGTTATTATGCTCCTTATTCGTATTCCTAACTTATTCAATTATGAAAAAGTGACCAGAATTAGTAAAAACAGTGTTTCATAATTTGAAAACAAGTTAAATGAATATATTATTAAAACTGCTCTCCTGAAAAACTAAGTTTTTGGACTTAATATACTCTGTCTTTGGGGTACAGATAATAGGATGTCCTATTGAAAAAAATCGGATCTTGGTAAATATCTCGAAATCGGAGCCAAATAGAAAAAAACTGAGAACGTCACCGAGTTCTGCTTAAAAAAGTGCTTCTAGAAAGTCTGTACGGAAATCTATTATTTTCCTAAATAAAGTTATGAAGTTTTCACTATCTATTTCTAAAAATAAAGGGTGCTACGGCTAGCAAGGAGAATCAACACATCAGTGGATAATAGGAAAAAACTTGTTTCTCGATTTTGATGTGAGAATGTCATTATTCCCGCAAGCAAAATCGTTGAAGAATGAAGCTCATTCTTCAACGATTTTCAGTGACATTTAGTTTTCAAAGTATACCTATTGGTACCTTCAAAATTGTCAAACCTTCTAAAATGATCAATGAACTATAGCTAAAAACTGGAATGCGCACACATTGCCATATATGCCAAAAAAATGAAGCCATGAAAGACAGATGCCACAAGGGGGAATGTTGTTTTTTTCTGTTGCTCGCTGACATATGACGTTTTCGAAAGTTTTGTCATATTTCCCTTCACAGGTTTCATCAATTGGAATAGGTGTTGGAAGCAATTTTCGCCATTTAACATAATGAGTCCGACAAAAACAGGTATCCCCTCCGCAGCAGCCGCACTAGGCTTCACGTTCGTCCTTATGTGTTAGCATTCCAGTTTTTGGTTATAGTTCATTGAAAATGATAGAATCCCCCTGTCAGTTGGTTGGTAAGTAAGTGTCACCAACTGACTTATTTTGAAAATAAAAAATCCCCAACTAACAGCGTTGACAAAAAAAAAAAATTTAAATGAAAAATAAAATCCAAAATCGAGAGAATAGTATAAAACACACGTTGCAGAAGGCTATTCTCGCACTCATTCGTTCGTCCACTCGCTCCTTCGTCGCTCGTGGCCAAATTTCGAATTCGTGCGAGAATATGTGGCCTTCTGCAACTTGTATTTTAATATACTATTTCCCTAGTCTGGGTTTTCCCAACTAACTGATTTTTGGTCGGCCTATTAGATGGTCAGTACTAAAACAGCAAAAGTGCTGTTTAGTGTTGATTCCTAGTCTTAGGTGACGCCACGATCAAATTTTGCTCGTCGTAATAATACAAATATGTTTTGTATTTATTTTTAAATAATGGATAGAAAAAAAACAACATTTTAGTTGTTATAAATTTTTATCATCATATAAAATTTTTAAATTAAAGATACAGTTGGGACACTTAGCAATAGTGATGAGTGGAAGCGTTATGGCAACAGTTGTGCTATCATGATATGAAGGTATGAAAGCCTCGCTACTTGTAACCCGATGACGAGATGCGAAAGCCTGACTGCTTGTACCTAGTACCACGTGAAAAAAAACACTCTAAGAAACACATAGGATGATATCTATAATTTAAATTGTTTTTATAGCATAAAATAACCTATATTTTACCCAATTTTACCTAATAAAAATCCAGAAACACCGACTTCTTCACAGCAGGCCTGGCCTAACCTAACCTCTAACCTGAATCTAAACAAAACTGCGGCGTTGTACGAAAATATTGGAAGTAAAACGTCTTTTGGGACGTTTCAAGCATGTTGTACCTAACAACATTAGAAACGCTATATTACCAAACAAGTTGGTTTCGAACTTACCATGTCATCTCGTGAAACGTAGCAAGAACGTAGATAATATACTGTTCATACAACGTTAAATACTCAACGTTGCTAGGGTAAACATGTATTTCACGTTATTGGAACGTTAGCTTTACAACAGAACCGGTACAATTGCAAAATAACGTTTTAAAAACAGGAATATGCAACACGTTTTGAAAAGTAGTAACAAATATGACTTTACTACGTTACATAATAGTTATTTGTGCAACCAGTTTGGAAAAGCACTATTTTTCGTAACTAGCAGATTTCTGCGGATCGAGCGAAGCGAGTTCCGCAAAAGGAAGCGAGTTACGAAAAATAGTGTTTCCCAACGTGTTTCACACAATATTTTTTCTAATTTTGTATGTTATGATCTGATCCATTCAAAAATGTCCCTTCTATGATTATTTCTACGTCAAGTAAGTTCAGAGATGTTTCCTATTCCGTTGCTATGGAAGCTAATATTATTCAGTGTCAAGTTTGACGACTCAAACCGGTCATTGCTTTTGGCGATCATCGACTACCTATTCTGCTTGTAGATTCTGTGGCTGATTTGCTGAGACTTAAATAGCATGGAAGTGGAAGTCTAATACAGCCGCTAAGGGCTATGTGAAGATTTCCATAACTATAATAAACAGGTAATTGTCACCAACATCGTTGGAGAGATTTCCATGGAAAAAAAATCAATTTATTCATTTAATTAATGCTACACAGAAAACTATGTTGTCAATATCATCAATGATTGTTCAAATTGTGTTAAGTATTGATATTTATAACTAATTAGTTTTTTTTTCATACATTCTCATATTATGTTACTAATTTGAATAAAATTAAATCTTCATAATATGTACGTACAAAGAATATAATAACAACAAAGTACTTCGAGTAGTTCAGCCCCACAAGTATCACAGATTTGGTTCCTGTATTTCTTGCAACTAATGGTGAAATTTACTTTTCATCACCAGTTGCGAAAAATTTTACTTTTCGTAACTGGTGATGAAAAGTAAGGCATTTGATAACGTCAACGAGTTTTGAAAAGTGTCACTTTAAATGTCAAAATTAGAAAAAAAACGTTGAATGAGTTTCATTTTAAAAACGTTACAAAACATCCCAAGGATGTTTCTTGCTCAGTGGGAATGCCATGAAGATATCGATGGTTCACAACTTGTACCCGATATTTTTTTTTTGGAAATTGTGAAATTTTCGATATATTATTATCTTTCAGCTATCTGCGTTGAATCAGACGAACGCCATAATATAAGATTAGGTTGAAAAATGTGTTCAAGTGCTTCTTAAAATCGCGCTACTTACCTATATCCTATCATTCTATCATTGATATGGACCTTAAACTTAACAAGTACCTAATGACAGTATCAAGTGTTTTATCCTTATTTACAAATCCTATAAATTTGGAAATTATTGTTTTTATTTTGTAGGTATAGGTAGGTACACATAATGGCAAACATGATTAAGCTAGTCGGTGCTATTTGCTTATCTTTAATCTTTGCTGTTATTCTCAGTGAAGGTAGGCACTTATATTTAACTTGAATATATTTTTTTTTATTTGAAATATCCTCCTATAGATTGCTTCATAAACTTAACATAAAATATATACCTATATTTTTTTTGGCTTCCCTAATCTGTATTTTTTTTTCAGTAACTGCCAAACCTCAACACCCTCCTCTGAAAATTGTAAATGGAACAACCGCTGAAAATGGAGAATTTCCATACATAGTAAGTTCAATTGACATTATTATCGTCATTGTCTAGTTTCAAAAAATTTGTAATTAAGTTTTTTTTTTTTTTCGTTTCGTTATCTTCAGTTGTAATATTGATCGGACGAAACGTCATCTAGGGCCCAATGTAGTCGAAATATCTGAAAATGTTTCTAGACAATTGATTCTGTCGTTACAAAATTCAAGCTTATGAATAATAAGATTAATCATTATTTATTTACAATTACAATTTTTCTGATTTTATCGTCTTTGATTTAATTCACAGTGTGTTAATGAATTTAGTGGCATGCAGACGTAAATTAAAAATGATGAAAAATTTTCTTGCCTTGACTAGAATTTGAACTCAGGATCCTTGCATATCTAATGCAGTGCTCTACTACTTAATCGACAAGATAGAAATGAGACAGGTCTCGGTAGCTCAGTTGGTAGAGCATTGGACTGGATATGCAAGGGTCCTGGGTTGAAATCCAAGTCGAGGCAAGAATTTTTTTAATCAATTTTAATTAACCTCTACATACCACCAAACTCATAAACATACTCATCATAATAGGCGATCACTCGATACCAAGTATGATTATCTATTATTCTATTCTTATTGTCGTCGATTGTGCGTTTTCTGATGGCTATATAATCCAATTCTGAAGCCGCACACTCTTTCACAGTCTTGGCACACCCAGACTCCGGCGGCATTGTATCTTCCTCTGATCCCTCGCTCCTTCCTGCGGTCCCTCTTTTTGGTCTCGTGTCTGCGTCGCTGTTCATCAGAAGTTTGTGGTTCGCCATGGACTTAATGTTTCACAAGACAAGATTTCTTGTCTTGTTGGGCCTATTCTTGTCTTGTCTTGCAGAAAAAAATCTTGTCTTGCAAACAAGATTTCTTGCAATTTCTTGTTCTTGCATTATTTGTTTTGTGACATCATACCAAGAGTCTTGTTGCAAGATTCTTGTTGCAAGATTCTTGATGCAAGACTCTTGGCATCATTCATTACGTTCAAAAGCGTGTCGGGGGCGTGAATGGTAGAAAAACACGAGGGTTTGCTACCACACACTTCGATTTTCGAACGACGTGTTTCATCGCGGCGATGAAATACGTCGTTCCAAAATCTAAGTGTGTGGTAGAAAAACACGACGGTTTTCTACAAAACACTTTGGTTTTGGAACGACGTGTTTCATCGTGACGATAGAAACCGTTGTTCCAAAACCGAATTGTGTGGTAGAAAAACACGACGGTTTTCTACCACATACTTCGGTTTTGGAACGACGTGTTGCATCGCGGCGATAAAAACCGTCGCGTTTCATCGTAGTCTGTGGGGCCCTTTAAGATTATTATTGGTGTCATTGCCATTGATAACGTGGTTGTCATCTTTACTGGTTTAAAGGCTTTTTTTCGAGGAAACAGTTTCAAAACCCGTTTTAAAACAGTTTCAGCTCTAACGTCACTATTTTATGCACTACAATGCTAACAGACCTTAAAACAAATTCGACTTGATTCCTTGATGGTTGAAAACACATTGAGCTTAAAATTCAATATTGTGTGTGCAGTGTCGTTGTCCATCATGACCAAAAATTTTCCCTAGCCATACTTGCTGCAGGAACTGTTAGAAACTAAACATCTGTTTGAGTGTTTTGAAACTACAATTTCAAAACGTTTTGTCGCAAAAAAAATGCCTTAAACTTCATAAACTGACATGCTGACATTTTTATCTCATTGTTAACTACCGCAACGTTGCCAAAATTATTTCAAAAATATGCAGAGAAGGAGACTTCATTTTTTTGCAAGATTGCAAGAGTCTTGCAGAATAATTTCTTGTCTTGCTTGACAACTTCTTGTCTAGTCTTGCTTTGCAAGACAAGAAATTTGCAAGAATCTTGTGAAACACTACATGGACTACTCACTACTCGACGCTATGAGAGCCTATCACCGAACACATCCTGTATATTACTCGAACATAATAACGATATTGAGAACCTTGTATAATATTTTATTATTTTTTTTTTCTTTGTAGGTTCAATTGCTAGACTATTCTAATTATTTCCTTTGTGGTGGATCAATTATTGGCGACAGATGGATTTTGACTGCCGGTCATTGTATTGAAACTGGTGAAGGGTAAGAATAAAGAACCTTAGAGGGTGAAAAATGGCACAGGAAAAGCGTAGGACCAGTGAAACAATAGTATATTACATACCCAGGTGGAAAGTGTTTCATTACTGTCGAGAGATTTTAGTTAGATCAAGGTGCAGCGGAGGACTAACTAAAATCTTGAGACAGTAATGAAACTTTTCACCGAGGTATGTATACTATTTTATTTACAATCATTCAAATTTTGAAATTTTCATTTGAATTAAAACTAAAAAAAATATCTACAATAATAATTATCAATTTCATTTACTTTCGGCCCATGGGAAGAAAGTACCCCCCGTGGGCCGAAAGTAAAAGTCAAAAAAGTGACATTTTCAAACTTTTTAAAAGTGAGTAAACTCAACATTACATGTATGTATGTAAATAAATGAAATTCCTATATTTTCATAAAAAATATAAATATTCCAAAATATTTGGGAATTTATTTTATGACAGAAATAATGATTAATTTAATATTTTTCAGTGGAACAGTCGTATACGGAACCAACGTCTTGGCCGAAAATAGACATCTCAACACCTCGATAAAGATCAAAGATTCTTATTTACATCCACTTTTTAACTATAACAACACTCCCAGTGGAATCGTTCCATATTTTGATGTTGGCATTATTGAGGTAATTGCTTATTTATAGCGAATTTAGATGGCGAATTGACAGTTAGGCTTTTTCCACGAATGTGAATTTTGACAATAACATAAGTGAAAAAAGGTGCTTTACACACCTGTTACATACAAATACATATATCCTGTTCACAATCCGATGTCCACAGGTGCAGGTACATTTATCACCTTTCCCTATCAAATAGCATTGAAAGGTGATAAATTTTACTGGTACCAGTGGACATCGGATTGTGAACGTATAATAGACATATTACATTCAAAACACCATAGCAATCTTTGATTGTTTTTTTTTTTTGAAGAACCGATCAAATTTTGTACAAGGCGACCTAGAAAATGCCCCTTCATGTACAATAATTTGAAGTGCGGGAAAAAGGACATTTCACGCACGCTCGTAGATGGAAATTTATTGAATAAAAAACTTATTCTAGCTTGAACATGCTATTCCATTTGATTCCAATGCACAACCAGTCCAATTGGTTAATTCTAGTGCTCAGGTGCCTTTCCACCAAAATGGTACTTTATCTGGATGGGGTGTTACTGAAACCTATGGAGAAGTTTCGAATTACTTACAAAAGATCAATTTGCAACTTTTAAATGATACGGAATGTGGCCAAAAAATTGGCGACTATGCTGGTGCGGATATCTTCAACAGTACTCATAATTTGTGTAGTGATGATTACTTTAACGGAGAATGCTTCGTAAGTATAAATTAATTTTCATTTGACCAAACTAATACATTGAAATGTTTTTTTTTAAGGGTGATTCTGGAAGTCCTTTTGTTGTCGACGGACTTCAATATGGTGTGGTTTCTTGGTCTTTCAAACCATGCGGCATCACTCCAGGAACTTATAGTCGTTTGACTACACCAGCTTACCGTGAATTTATCAGAAATGTAACTGGAATTTGAAATTAAAATAATAATAAAAATATTATATGATGATCTACTTTCGATTTCTCCACCAAAAGAAAATCCATAATCTTGAATACTTGTCATCATTATCATAGGCGATCACTCGATACCGATAATAGGATTATCATCTATTCTATTCTTAGCGTTGTCGATGGCTATATAAACCAATTGTGGAGCCGCATACTCTTCCACAGTCTTGGCACACTCAGTCTCTTCCTCTGTTCTCACGCTCCTTGCTGCGGTCCCTCTTCTGCGTCGCTGTTCTTCAAAAGTTTGTGGTCTGTCGTGGACTACTTGACGCCATGTTAGGCTCCATAATTTGCCTCCGTCTCCCAGTTGTTGGCATCGATCCGGCACTTTGTCATATTTACTTTTGGAACATCTTTGTATTGTAGCGTTTTGGTTGACCTCCTTGATTTCTTTCTCTCTCTTTCAGTTGCCTGTAGACAATCTTTCGTGGAAGACGTGTTTCGGGTATGTGGATGAGGTGATCTGTCCAGCGAAGTTGGTGCTTAATGATGAGGGCTTCAATGCTAATTGTTTTGGCCTCCTCTAATACATTAATGTTCATTCGTCAATCTTGCCATTAAATCCGTAGGATCCTTCTCAGGCATCGCTGGTGGTATTTTTCTAGGCTTTTTATGTGTCTGATGTAGGGGTCCATGTTTTGCAGCCATATGTAAGTGTTGGAATTACAACTGCATTGTAGACACGAAGTTTTATCTCAGCGCTGATGTCGTGATTCTCTCTAGAAGTCGCCCGAACGCCGCGCTAGCAAACTGCCAGCGATGTTAGATTCCAGCGTCAATGGTTGCATTTAATGCATTTGCTGACAGATGCCTCCCAAGTTATGGGGATGGATAATATTCTACATTCTGCAAAAGAATGTACACTTATAGTTATATTTGGAGTTTGGGGATTACTATCCGGTGCGGGTTAATTCTGAATCTGCGTCTTGTAAAAGTTGACCTCTAGGCCAATTTTCCTGTATGCCTTGTTGAACGCATTAATAATTGCCTGAAGATATTCCTCTGTATTAGCCATCACGACGTTATCATCCACATATTTTGAGGTTCCATTATCGATGTCGTCGATACTTTCGTCTTGGCTCCTAATCTGTTCAGGTTGAATAAGCCGCCATCAAGTCTGTACAGGATTTCCACTCCTGACGGCATGTGATCCTCGACAAGGGGAAGCATGGATCTTATTGCCTTTTCAACCTCCTCTGCTCTGAATTTTCGTTGTATTGATTTCTGGGGAACTTCGTTGAAGATGTTATTGTTAATTTGTAATTCTCAGTTGAGTAGTTCCTGTAAGTGTTTTTTCCAACTAGAATTAATGGCAGAACTGTCGATAAGCAGCCTTGTGCCATCTTTGGATCGTGAGGGATTGCGTCCTTTAGTGGTTGGTGGAAAAACTGTATTCTTTATTAGAGTCATATTCTGAACATGTGGCTAGTAGCCGAATTCAGTTCAAGTTCATTTTTCCGATGCCTCCCTTGCCAACCACGCCTTTCCATAGATCTAACTCTGTACCGACCTGGGCGTTGAAATTACCTTAAAGAACAAGTTTATCAGATCTAGGTACAGATAATATGGTTTGACTAGGCTGGGCATAAAATTCCTCTTTATGATTACCCTTAGTTGTGAGGGTTGGAGTTTAGGCATTGATAAGCGTAGCTTGTTGGTTGTTGCTGAGGTTTAGTAGCAGTGTCATCAGTCCGCATATTCCAGATGGAAGCTCAGCAAGTTGGTCCATGAATTCATTATTCATGGCGAAACCCATTCCGTGGATGCGAGGTTCATTCTCTTTCCAGAAAAGCGTATAGCTTCCTATGTACTCCTTAAGTTGAACTTCGGCCGCTCTTCTGGTTTCTCTTAGAGCTGCAATATCGATGTCCAGTGCCACCATTGCCGTTCTTCGTTGTGGTCTTGTATTTGTGCTGGTATCCATTAGTGTCCGAATATTGCACGTGACAAGATTGAGTTTGATTTGTTTCGACCGCATGGGGTTTACCCTCTAGACATGGGTATCCTGTGTAGCAGTTGGCTCGATATATTAAGGGCACCTTTTATAGCTCCTTAATTCCTTTCAGGGGGAGCAGAGTGGCTCCCAAATAGGACTGCTCAGTTATGGATGTAGCACACGAGTGGCTCTACCGCCGATTCTTGAGCGGAGATCACGCTACCCGACGCCTCCAGGCCGGTTTGTCACTAAGAGCTTCTAGACTACACTATCCTGTTCCCATCGCAACTTGGCGATCGCCGAAGGACTTAGGTGTGGTTTAGACTTGATGATCCTCGTTGTCCTAGAATAGAAGATGCCTGTGCGTGGACTTTAATTTATTTAAATGTATGCTGATGCACAGTCAGCACACCTACGGTCCCTAAGCTCAAGGTCACACCCCAGTGGCGGCTTCTTATAAGGGTCAATGACCTCCTGAAATATTCTGATCAATATCATAATTTGATCAAAAATAATTTTGTATCATAAAATTCTGAGCAGTCTACATTTGCTGCAATATTAGAAATAAAACGAATAAATAATCCTGCCGCGTCCGCGCGCTAATCGGGAACCGGGTCGTAATTGAAATTGACCCTGCACAGTGCATGTGGTTTATGGCATAAAGCATGTTAAAAGAACAGAGACAACAGATCACGGATTTCGTGAGCGGGAGTGAGAGTCACCTTGACTTCTATATCACTAATATGGTCGACGGCCCGCGGTGTTTCGCTTCAACAGCGCGCTGTGCGCGTCGTAAAATCCAGTAGTCCAGTAAAATAGAGTTCAATTCTATTTCATCATAGTGCAGAACACCCCAACAATTTGTGTGAAAAAGATTGTTTTAAAAAAAATCTAACAATAGGGAACTTGCATGAAAAATTAAATTGATTATTGTTTCTCGAAAACTGTAGGAATTAAAAAAAAATCGTATTTTTTCATTTTGTCCAAAATGATTGTTCTGTAAGTTATACAAATATCAGGTTTTGTATATATAGATAAACTGAGCATGTGCGACGTCATAAAATTATATAATTTATGACGTCATAAGCACATTTCACAATTTTCATAGCGTTGTATCTCCGTCAATTTTTGACTAGGAAGAAAAAGAAAAAACACGTGTAGACTTATTTTTTATCAACTAAGGAAATCATCAGCGATAAAAAAAATTGATACAAGTTCCGTATTGTGAACCAAAATGTCCCCCCTGGTCACTAACCCACGAGCCGCCACTGCACCCAACGACATAGGAACTAAAACGACTGGATCCATGGATTCCCTGGAGCTCAGGGCTAGCTGATTGCATGATCAAGCATTGAACTTGAATCGTGAGCAATGGGGTCGCCACATCCCTACGCCGAGCATAGGTACCCATATCATATAGGTGATGGCCAAACGGGGGCTTCCATTCTACTCTCTACCCGGCTGGAAAACAAAAAAGGCCGCCTTCCGGTGACAGTAGGACTTTTTCTTTTATTTTCTTGATTCTCGAATTTCCGGTGGCGTAACAACAAGCTCAAATTCTTCGCTATGGAGTCATAGCTACCGGAAATATCGTCTGTGGTATATTGGACCCCGCACAATAGTGCTAAGTAATAAAATATACATATGGAGTCCAAACGTCCAATATACCCTGCGCGAGTGAAGACGTGATTTTATCATGAGCGAGTATTCCAGTGTTAACATTTGTTTAGAAATATTTTCAGTTTGATATTCGTCTTGAAGCATTAACCCAAGCTTTCTCAAATTATTCTGATATTCAGGATGGCATTGAAGAAAAACTTCACGAACAACGATCGTGAGGATGTCGAAGACTCCTATTATGAATTACACGCTCAACTCAAGGGAGCGGTAATGTCAGAACTTTAGACTTCAAATCTGTCAGTTATATGCTCTGAAAAGCTGTTTATTTTTTTTTTAATTCTTCCGCAAAGAGGAAAAAAGACCTCCCGTCGCTCTTGCGTATTGGAACCATCGCGCACTAGCGGCTAAGTCGTACGACCAGATCGCGCGACCAATAAATAATTAGTCGCGCTGCTTTTGGGCAATCAGTGGGATGCGTCCTTGATGCGTCACACCGCCACAGATCTCTGTGCCCGCCAGGACTTTTGTGACCGCTGCTGCCATTGACAGTGAAGTGCGCGGTGTAAAATTTGAAAACTTCCAATGATTTCGTGGCGCTACTTGGCCTAGCGGCCAATAGTGCTATAGGGCTCCTGTGGGCTCTAGCGCAAGAAAGATATACCGACTAGAGAGATAATTAAAAAAAAGAAGTTGAAACAGTAACAGGAAGTACCTACATACATATGTACTTCCTGGCAAGCTCTCAATGAAATTTGTATTAGAATCAAAAAAAATAAATAATAATAATAATAATTAACAAAATGCATGTAGGAGCAAAACTCTAATGTTCTCAAAGATTCCTTTAGAAAAACCGATCATTATACCAACTTTTTTTTTCAACAATTTTAGTACTCCTATACTAATTGCCATAAGAGATTAAGTTGACACGTGCCTTCAAGGGCTTTTTGAAATTGCGGTATTCATATCCTATCATTATATCAATAATACGGATACTGAAAATAGCAAGTAATGACAGTAGCGTTTTATCTTAACTTACAAATCCTATAAATTTGGAAACTGTTGTATTATTTTGTAGGTATAGGTTGGTACAGTGACAATGGCAAACATGAATAAGTTAATCGGTACTTTTGCTTTATCTGTATTACTTGCTGTTATTCTCAATGAAGGTACATACTTATATTTTATTTGATTTTTTTTTTACTTCGAAATATCCTCCTATAGGTTGCTTCATAATAGTTATTTATGATATAAGTGCTAAAAGTGACATTTTATTTTGTGAAAAGGGAAGTTTGGGACACGACGACGCCGAAGGCGGAGTTTTCCATCCCTTTGAACAAAATAAAATCACTTTTAGCACGAATATCATACACTATTTTTTCTACAAACGCACTAAAGGTGATTAAAAGTAATCACTTTTAACACCAGTGTCATAAAATGGCATTTTAGACACTGACAG